AAATGACAATAGTAAGGATCAGGAAAGAAAAAGCAGCAGTTCCCTGTTGTAGATCAGGCACAGTTATGAGCGTGACATGAGTCTGCTCATTTACGATTCTACTACGCTTGAACGAGAAATGTTCCCCCTTTGGGAATGGCCTAAAGACACGTCAGTCTGTGGCACCGCCCCGGGGGGTAGTCGATGTCTTTGTCTTTGCTCAAACAAACCGTCAGTGTCATTGTGTTCTTTGCTTTTCTTTTCTTTTTATCCCTTTTCCCCTACATATCGTTTGCTTTTTTAAAATTTATCTTTTTAAAAAATGAAATTCATTTTTCATACCTCTGCTTATCTCGTCAAATTGTTCGTTCTCTTCTTATTGTGTCGACGTCTTTTATCTCATAAACATCCGCCTTGTTCCCACACATTCTCATTTCCAGCTTGTCTCAATTATTTTCCCGCCGTTTCCCACTCTCGTCTCGCCCACCGCGCCGACATGCACATCCATGTTTTTTCCCGCCGTGAGAGAGGAGAGAAGGGAAATGAACGGGAAAATCGAGTCCCTTAGGTCGGGCGCCCTGAAATAAATTTTAACTGTCGATGCGTCAAATGGGATATAAAATTGGGAAGGCCGTTTTTTCTCGCTGCAATTTTCTGAGGGGAGGTAATACCGGATATTGAGCAAGGGAGAGAAGCCATGACACACACAACTATGATGAGCTATGGCGCTTGGCCTATCGACCAGATCGCGTTTGTCATGTTTTCCCAGACATTACAGAGCCTAGTCCCGACCTCTAGCTCATTCCGCTGGATCAACCCGTTATCTTTTTTTAACCTAGTTCTGTAATAGATCGATAGACATAATTATCTGGATACACTCTTCCCCCTCCCCTCCAGTCCCCTTCCTTCCCCCACCCTCTTACGACAACATTTTCGGGACATACTTTTTCTTTCGTCGTTATTTCTCCCCCCCCATCACAGAGATCCCAAAGCTAAAAAAGCCAAAACACGACAAAAATAATTATATATACAAAAGCAATGTAGGCCTAAACGTAATGTTTTCAGGACTTTAATAATGGGCGCGTGCGCACGTACTGATTTATCCAGTACCGGTACACTTTAAACAGTATACACCGGTACAACAGGGCAGGGGACATGACTCTCGCGTTGACGGGGCCACCCGGACTCGGACTGCTTCTTGTTTCAACCAACAACTCAACACTCATCATCAACATTCAGCATTGATTTAGCTAGGCTTAGTACCTCCCGGCCTTTGGGTAAATAATCAGTTAGAATCGTTGGTTACCGATTTATTAACACGCTCTGTGGTAGTGAGTTGCATCTCTTTAATTGTTTTGGGAGGAATTCCGTTACGAGCGACCACTGAAAAAGACTAATTATCACTAGAGTAGATCAGTGGGTGATCTTGTAGTTCCGTTCGTTAAAGTCCACGATCCATTTGTTTACATCCAGAGAAGAAATCCAGAAGTCTTGAAGACCAAATACTATTTGAATTAGGCTACACAAAGAGCAGGGATGCAACCTTACTGAAAAACATCAAATTAGGATAAAATTCAGGGGGGCATGCCCCCCTGAACCCGCCCACCTCCATATTTTTTTTAGGTCAGGGGGGCAAGCCCCCCTGAAACCCCCCTGCTTGACTTTAACGAACGAAACTACAAAATCGCCGATCAGTGTTATAGTAGGAATATAGGCCTAATAATCTACAGGGTAGGGTACGTTAAGTTAGGGTTAACGGTTAAGGCTAGGGTTAGGGCGTTATGGTTTGGGGTAGAGGTTGGGGTAGGGATAAGGGTAAGGGTAGGGTAAGAAGGTCTCCTTTATGGCATTATAATGGCCACCTCTATTCTCACCCGCCTGGCGCAGGCGCGCCTTTTGGTTATTCTCACCTGGTGTGCGTTCACCGTTATAGTTAGCCTTGGCCAACCAGTGTAGCGTTCACCCTGAACCACAGAATTCTACACTGTGATAACAGAATTGTAGAATTCGGTGCCGTGAACAATTATGTTCCAGTGCTCTTGTGTTACTACTGTTACTGTTAGCCTAAAAGCATGCAATTTTGTATGTGGACTGTGGGCAGTGGAGAGAGAAAAAGAGAGAGAGAGAGGAGTAGTGCGAGAACTTCTGGGCAAAACAAAATGGCGACCCGCGTAGTTCGGCTCGATTCGAAAAGTTAAATAGCTGTAGCATCTTTGTAGACGATCAAATTAATTTACTTTTGTGTTTTTTAGCATCATTTTTTATCTTTGTTTTGGTCAATTTGATCGTCCACATCGATAGACAGTATTCAGAAAGAGATAGAGTGAGAGAGAGAGGGGAGGAGTAGATTTTACTAGAACTTCTGGGCAAAACAAAATGGCGACTCGCGTCGTTCGGCTCGATTCGAAAAGTGAAATAGCCACGGCATCTTTGTAGAGCTTACTTTTGTGCTATAACGTCATTTTTTCTTAGTTTTTGTCAATTTGATCATCCACACCGATAGACAGTAGTCCGAAATTAGGAAAAACAGGTCTTGTTTCACTCTGGGTGAGAATAGCCAATGCTGGCAAGTCTCACCCGGGGTGAGGGGTCGATCGTATTTTTATTCTCACCCCGGGTGAGGATAGCCACTTCCTCCTTTATCATTGTGTTTGTTGGGGTGGTTACTCACGGAAGTCCTTCCTTTGTTTTACCTGGGGATGGGAAGAAATTCCACAAAGTCCATCATATAAAAAAGAAACGCATGCGACTAACGTAGAACGACGCAAACTATTTTTAGATATAGGTGGCCATCTTGTGTGACGTCAAACCAGGATACCCCTCTGGTCACATGACTACACGATCTAAACATAGCCTACCGCATGACACCAAACTTCGTGTATACCTACCATGGCACGACGTTTGGTGGGATGTTTTTCCAGGAGACGTACTGGTAATGTGATATGATGCAGTGCTCCGATGATGCTGCTGTTTATCTTTTGTGCGCTTTGTTTATATATCGAGCTGGGAGGGGGGGGGGGGTAAATCTCCAGGAGTCTTTACGCACGGCTGTTCAGTTCTACTATCCTTGCAGAGCACATAGTTTTTATATAACCTGTCCGCTGACCTCCCGGGGTCATAAATCCCATCTGACAGTCGGGCCGCTCATCGCTTCCTGTGTGATAACGCTGTAAGCTGATTTTGGGTAGAAAGTGTGTAATTTTCTCTTGATTTAGACCCCTGTAAATGTCCTCTGTTATCTATCACTATGGGTGCGTGAGGTATCATATGAAAGCCCAGACTCTCCCCAATAACCCGAACCCTTTAGTTTGGTTCAAGTTCTAATCGTGATCACACTCTGCCTCTGTACTTAACCCTACCTTGTGGTGCACATATTTCTCGGATTGCTACAAAGATCAGGATTTTTTTCCATTCGTGAAATGCAGATTGTTATCGTTTTTTTATCTGCCGAATCAAGAGTAGGTAAGGAGGTTAATTGTGAAAAAATCGTTTGGATTCACTGGAAAACTTTAGCAGGACGGCGAGTTCTGTTACTTCACCCTGCGATATTTTCCCGGCCGACGTGCTGCCCCGCGCGGTATTCACCCGAGGTCCTGCTTTCACTTTCGCGGATTCTTTATCGACAAGTTTTAGGAGAGTCTGTTACAAGAGGGAAAATGGAACTCACACGCGAACTACACCTTGTGGGTTTTAAAAAAACGTGTAGAACATGCGGGGCCAGAAGTCAAAAAGTTAAGAAGGCAAACCAGAGCTGATATTTTGGTGTAAGTTTTAAAACTGACTTTCTCGTAATCTATCATGTCAAGGTTGACACGGATAGTGCAGACACGCATCCTTGTGAATTGTGCAACAAATGTGTTCAGCGCATATACCGCTCAAGGAAACAAGATCGAGAAACAACCCTATCTGCTGCACAAAAAAGTATTGAAGATAGTTTACACAGCAGGACACCTTACTATAGTCGATCTCTGATAGGAAACCACTGTCACCAATACTTGAAGCGCCCAGTGTACACAAACATCACAAAACACATTTACAAACACACTGCAATACAGCTCTTACATCCCCCTAAAAACCCAACATCATAGATGCAGCCCACGCAATCAGACAGAAATTTGATTAATTAAATAACAGAGCTATGCTGAAGTACACCACCTAATCTTTCATACACCTAAAATACAAGAAACTGAGTTTGACAATATAGGAACAGCAATTTGTGCATATTTGAAGCTGTACAGATGACTATTTCCAAACGCAGTCGTACCTAAACAAGACATATTAGAGCACCACTGTCTGCCATTTATTTAAAGAATATGGAAATGGCCTGGGGTTAATGGGTGAGCAGGGTGGCGAACTTGTGCACCCCAGCATCGCAAAACTGGAGAAGAGGACAGTGGGGAATAAAAGAAATAAGGAAATTGTTTGTTGTGTGTCATTTGATTGTTGAGAGTCATATCATTTATAAAATTATAGAAAATGCCTTCTATTACATTTAGCCTACTGAATAAGCTGTTATTGAGGCCCACAGACCGCAAAATTCGTCCATGCTTAGGCAGCAGGTTTGAAAAAAAAGAGAGGAAGACACAACTAGCCTGTGACACTTTTGCAATTATTGTTATAAGTATTCATATGTTATAAGTTTGTGAATATGAAAGTAGCTCTAGCTGTGAGGAGACAACGAGGAAACGCTTGTGTCGTGGAATTGGATAGCAGTGAATCTTCTGCAAGTTCCATATTTATGAAAACTGTGAGGAGACATCGAAAAATCTCCCGTTTCATTAATGGGGCAGTAGTAATTCTTCTACAAGTACCCCATTTCTGAATGAATCAAACCAAATGTTAGTGTTTCTGAAAGCTCATCATGTCACTGTTGTATACCACCGATTATTTCAGAGATCTGGTTTACACATTTTAAAATATAATGAATTGAAAAAGTAGACCCATAAAACAATTTTCCCCATAGATGCCCTCAGTTGCGCCCATGTTTTAAAGGGTACCCTGTTAAGAATACCAATAAAAAGTTATTTGCTGTACAGTCCAAGAATGCCTCTTTCTGTTGATAGTAATTTCACGTTGATTTGTTTAAATATGAGGAAAGCCACAATGAAGCAATTAAACTGTATAAGTATAAAAATTGTAAAGTCACAACAGTTCACTCGCAGAGCAAAGGTCAAAGTGACCTCCCTGACCACCCGGGCGTGGTATGGTTGACCGGGTCAGCTCCTCAGGTAACTAAGTGCTCCGCTCGGGAACAGCCGTGTACGGCAATTTTAGCGCACTTTATTGTCTTTGCGTTTATTGTGTTTCAATTTCAAGCATCAGCGTACTGTTCTGAGCATCAACGATCTGAGCGATCTTCCTTCACCAGCGAATGGCTCACGTGCTGCAGTTAGCCGCATGTATTAAATTTTATCATGCGAAACACATCGATACGGATAATAGGTCAAGCCACTGACCCAACATGTCGTTCTATGCGGTATCTCCAAAGATTGTGCAGTGTAGTAGAGAATCTTTGGTATCTCCGCGGTCCTTCTTTTAGATAGTCTGTGGGTATCCCCGGATGTGATGACATCACATTACTGAAATAAGCAGCCAGTCAGGCAGATGCGTCGTTCTACGTTTAGGGCTCAGCCGCATGTAGAAGAAACCTAGATCTAGAGATCTGGATTCTAAATCCTAATGACTTCAATGATTTATGTGATAATCATTGTGAGTGATTGTGATTGTTTGTTGTGTGTCATTTGATTGTTGAGAGTCATATCATTTATAAAATTATAGAAAATGCCTTCTATTACATTTAGCCTACTGAATGACACTTTGAAACTGTGTACTTTATTCGGGGTTGAGCGCTATATAAATGTCATTTATTATTTATTTATTATTATTAATTGTCTTAAACTGCTTTTTTAAAAGTTGCTCTTTATTTTATGTAGATCTAGATTCTCGTAACCGTGTTGTCAAGAGTCAAAGGATTCCGAGACGAACAACACAGCTGACCAATCGATCAATATTCATTTTTAGGAGTAGAACTTGATCCAGGTCTATTCATTTTTAGGAGTAGAACTTGATCCAGATCTCAAAACTTTGCTTCTGCACCATACCTGACAATATTTACCAGATCTCATAAAGTACTGAAGCTAACTTAAGAATTTAAAAAGTAAGTCGTACAGAAATGATTTGTGTACCATACGCAATTTAGAGACATGATGGAGAAGATCAGATTAGCCAAATTATGAATAATATTACTATTATACTTATTCAATTTCTTTCACAGATTCAGTCTGAATAGTATCAGTCTGAAACAGAATAGAACAGGGAAAATTGTGAAAAAGACATTAAAGAGACACTACAAACCTATGGTACATATTATAATCTTTTCACAAGACAAGTATAGCCATGCAGTCCATAACACATTCACTATAGCGGGTGCTTAGACAGGACAGGTGTACTGTCAGGCAGGGACCACCATATTCTCTTCCACATGAAGTGCATTTTCAAGATAGAAGAAAAAAGAAAACTGTGGTCTCCAGTTGGGAGTGGTGGTGGTGTTGGGGTGGGAGGGGGGGGGGAGACTCTCTTTATTATGCTTTTTTGTATTACTTTTTAAAGAAAGTGCAGGGCCTATGTTTTTAAAATGGAAAAATTAGAAAAAAAATTATTGAGGATCAATACTTAAAAGACTTAAAGTCATTTCTGCTACTGGGTAGAATATCTCTTACAGGATGATGTGAATCTTTTGTCCTTTAAATCTTGCAGGCATAACCGGATAAAAGGGCTGAAGCAAGTCATGACGACCATACGCCCTTTTAGATGTGATGATCTATTCAGATTCAACAATGTGTAAGTGCTGTTGTTGTATTACAGCGGAACGTGAATTCAACGAGGTCGCCAGGCCTGACCTAAAATCTCGTTGAATCCAAGGGTTCGTTATAACAAACATGAGGAATGGCTGAGACTTTTTCTACTCTGGGAGAGACTTTGAATTGATACATGGTGTGAACGAAGCTCACTCTCAATAGTGTATTTTTGCAGAGTAGGTGTTATGAGGAGATAAACAAAAGAAAAGGGTTGCCTGCACACTGAAATTATGAGTCAGTCTTGGTGTATGCACTGTTTTTGAGTTCTAAAAATGTTTTTGTCAGATAGTTCTTTGCAACAAATGTTGCTGGTTGAGGAAAAGATTGCTGTTAAAGTGGTAAATTTATTTGGGAAAATTCCATGACACGAGCTAAGGTTTCTGTTATGTAGAGGGTTGACCTTATCTGGGTTGCTGTTAAGTGGACACCTTCATAGCTGTAGTGCCTCGCTGCCTGAGAATTTAAAAAGTTCAATCGGGCATGTTTGGCTGTTTTGAATTACTAAGACCATGGGGTCAAAATCCGAATATTCTGTCTGCTCTATCAAAATCATAAGATTATTCGGAGTCGTTATCGAGATATTCAAAGTATTGCATTTGAAAAAGCTTGACATGATGTGAAACTCAAAGTCTTTCACATCAAATTTCTAAAAACTAGGTACTGAGCAGATAGAACTTTGTAATTCTGAGGTAGCGACCTCTCAATGGTGAAAGGAATATAAGTAAGTTTGAAGTAGCACATGGTAAAACTTGAGACAACCAGATGAAAGTTGATCTGCTAATTTTTGTATATAAATGGGAATCTTGTTGGATTAATTACTGTTAATGTTAATTTCTTGTAAATTTTGTTATGAGCTCTAAACCTTGGAGGCCTATACCTCATTTTGACGTCATATGACTGCTTTGTTAATGGGGTTACATTTTTTTTTTCAGGAACTTGGATCCTCTCACTGAAACAGTATCCTTTGTGATCTACTTGACTGAAATGGAGAGAAAACTTTCAATGTTATTCCATGTATATATTTCTACATTATACTGAAGAATGAGTGTAGTTCAAATACATAGAAATGTTATCAGTTTTTGAAGTTTTCAAGCTTTTTGATAATTTTTTTCCTTCTTTATTGACATTTGCGATTTATTTATAACTTTTATTGAAATGGCTGTGATGTATTCTAGTACATCGAGAAATATGTTTTTAACACTGTAACGTAAGTTTCATATAATTGTATTGCACATTCTTTTATGCTAGCATCTAACTATGAAGTGGTCAGAAATTTGTGGCGCAACTTATCCTCAAATATCTCTTTAACGGGTTAATCAAGTCACCCATGTTTTGCACAACAGTTTGCATCGATTTGTCTTAACGTAATCAAATTTTCCCTCAACAATTAAGGCTGGACAAAAAATTTTTTTTTCATAAATGGGAGGCAGCGTGGTGGAATCAGGCTCTCGTCAATTTTTGGGCATGTAGAGTTATTGGTATCATCTTAAAGCGTGTTCAATTGTCTTTATTTAGATGAAAAAAATATCCATTTATCTTGAATACAAGTCGAGATATTTGCAAAAGAAGGAGGTGGGGGTCACTTGTTTTCAGAGGTAAAATTAGTGAGAAAATGGCCACCAAAGATTAGTTATTTCCTTAGCTTAAGAGTCCGTGGTAACTGACAATTTTCATTTTTGTGCCTTTAATCAACGCTTTTCAGAAAAATCCACACAGAAATGAGTTCTTTAATGGGCATGAATGGTGTTGAGCCAAAAAACAAAAATTTGATAATTCACAAGCATGCGGAAAAATTCAAGTTTCTTCACATTGAATATTTTGCGGAGAGCCTGATTCCACCACGCTACCTCACAAATGTACTCTAATTCTGCGTCAGGTTGAAACTGGGTTTGTTCACAGTACTTCACGCTTCTCACACACTCTTTGTATACACTTTTGGCCTCTGTTAATGTTAATTTTTTTGTGGCAAAACTTGTTAAAAAATTTTTTTTTTTAAATTGCGAACAGTTTTTTGCACTATAGGTTCTCAAACTGTGCGCTCAATAAACTTGTCGCAAGTTGAGAAAAATGCCCTAGATTTAAACTTTTCAAAATTTGTAGAAACCAGCCACTTGGATTTTTAATTAGTATTCATTAAGGAATTTTCTAAAATACAACTAACAAGTGTTTACAAAAATATTAATCTGTTCATGACAAATTGATACAAGTCATTGTGCAAAGTTGGAGGCTTTATGATTGATAGTTGAGAAAATATTTGAAAATAAGAATTTTTGACCACACTACAGTACATATCTTGTTCTACGTTGAGGCAGAATTATTTTAAAAAAAAATAGACAAGGCCTGAAAATTTTTAGTTGACAGAAACTAGATGATATATTTCCATGTTATGCTTTATCTTAATTCTCAGTAAATTGTCTTATGCCTTTTGAAAAACAGATTGCGTGGTGTTTATTTCAAGGAGGGAATTGTTGGTGGGCACGGTGATGTATGTTCTTGCTTGTTCTTTTGGCTGTTTCTGTCGCTGAAATTGAGTTCTGGTGGAGATGGCTCACATCACACCATTTTACTGTAAACAAGGACTCAACAAGAACGACCTTCTGTAAGTAAAATTTGAATTTGCAGGTTTCTATTGTATTTGCTAAGTGGGACACTTCTAAACATTGTTTAAGTAGTGGAAAAGTTCACTCTAATATTAGAAGCATTTGAAAGTTGTCTAGTTTCCTGAACTATTTTTCAGTATGGACTACCCTTCTACATGCAGTATCTGGCTCACTGGCCAGAGTATTTCCAAGTGCTGGAGTCACCTACAGGACAGATTATGGGCTACAGTAAGTATTGGTGGCTACTGATTGTCTCCCTTTTGTCTGTCTGCAATTATAACGGGAATAAACAAATTGCTCTATTTAGTCTTCTCAGGTCTTTGAATGGATGCCTGATGTTCGTACTTGGCAGGCAAAGATGACCTCGACATGTAGGTCTAAAAGTTGGATGTATAACAAACTGAAAGCCCTTTTATGACGGCCACTGTGACTGTGACATATGGTTCCGATGTGTTTTCTTTGATGTTAGGCCAGGTTACTGTAAATTAGTTATTGTAATGATCCCGTGTGTACCATCTAAGGGCATTGTTTGATATAAGGCGCAAGTAAAAAAACATTTTTAATTACTGGATCAAGATTTTTTAAAAAGTTTTTGTTTGGCTGCTGGCCTATAGCGCTGCCGTGCAAAGTTTCATGTGCATTGGTAAGTTAATAAATGGACTAAATTTCTTTTAACCAGAAAAGAGTAAAGTGAGCAAGCTGTCGAATGCCTTGCTTCCTGTCCTCAGGTTAAGCCACGATCTTTGATTTCCTCCGTCACTCATAACTGTAAAGCTGGCAGGTGACCAAGTAAATTTTCCTGTGGTTCAATAGTTTTCAACAGTAGTTATTTTGTTCTTGAGTTAAACAAACTGTGTTTTAGAAAATGTTACTACTTCATACATTTCCTCTGTGGATTAAGTTTGAATTGTCTGTTCTGTTTGTACTAGTTGGCACTGTGCACTAACTATGTGTTTGTACTGATCCTTTCTTTTTGTTGCAAATCTTTAGAAATAAGTACTATGTGCATGCATCATCTTTGTCTTTACACTTTGAGAAAGTATCAGAACTGGATTATTACTTCATCTTTCTGTCTTTCTAACAGCTTTTAGTCTATTACAATCATCAGTTGTTGTGATTGCCACTGGTTGATCTTAATTCTTCACTCTTCACTGTAGCTCAATAGTTTGTGTCCATTTCTGGCTGGGAGTGGGGGGTTGGTATGTTTCCTTTCCACTTGCACTAAAATCAATAAAACATAAACTTAATTTATCCATATATGGGAAATTTTGGGTGGATATACCAGAACATCATGTGTACAAAAGTTCAGCGCCTAACAGATGCACACATTACATTCATATTAAATGATACACATATCGCGACCCTAGTGCTTTCTTGTCGTATCTCCATTTTTAATAACAATGAAAACAGTTCTTAACAAAGAATGAGCTTAAGAAGAAGTCACATTTTCACTTGAAAAAAAATGGAGATACGACAAGAAAGCATTGAGGTCCCGATATAAGCAGGCCCAGCTCGCAGAGACGTGTGTGGGAAAGAGATTATATCAAGCAGCCATCGAATGAGTGTCGTGTGTAGTGTGTACGTCCGTCAGTTCACTTGCGGTATCCGTATAGCGGCGATAACAATGCACACCTCATCACACAAGCGTACCTGAACAGTGTGTTCATTGGCATGTGTTCTTTCTTCTTCTCTCTCTTTCTCTCTCTCTCTTTCTCTCTCTCTCTCTCTCTCTCTCTCTCTCTCTCTCTCTCTCTCTGTCGCTTGCTCTCTCTCTCTCTCTCTCTCTCTCTGTCGCTTGCTCTCTCTCTCTCTCTTTCTCTCTCTCTCTCTCTCTCTCTCTCTCCCCCCCCACTCTCTCTCTCTCTCTCACACTTGCACACATAAACACACGCACACACGCATAAACACACACACACACACACGCATACACACACACACGCACACACGCACACATATACACACACATACACACACACACACACACACACACACACATACACTCGCCATTTTTATCTGTTCTTCTATACACATCAGACACACTCAGAGAGCACAATAATGTACAAAATGATAATCCTATATCATGTTGGTCTTATTGTTCTCCATAATCTGTTGGAAGAGGGGATAAAGGAGCTTTTATATCTCTCTGTTTTTTAGACTGGCTGGAGGATTTTTATTACTTCTAGTAGATCGTTCATATGCTTTGTGGAGAGGGTGTTCTATGTCATTTATTATATTCAATTCGAAGGCAAGCATTGGAATAGATGGTGTCAAACTGAAGCAAATAGAAAGTATATCAGTAAGAAAAATGAGCACTTTAATGCCTCTCTGGAAGAAAAATTCCTATGTGTACAGTCGAACCTCCTCTAACAGCCACCTTTATAAGACAATCACCTGTACAAATGGCTACTTCCCATTTCCTCCCTTGCATATTTTTGATATTATAACGACACTGTGTAAGACAGCTACATATCTGAGTCAACCACTTTTCTCTTTAACAATGGGTGGCTGTCTTTGACAGTTTCGACTGTATTTTCATCTTTTTGTGTTCTGGATATTTCAGTCATGGGAAAGGCAGAAGGTCTGGGAGAGCAGTGGCATGGTCACGTGACAGCATTGAGCGTGGCCCCCGAGTTTCGCAGACTTGGTTTGGCAGGGAAACTGATGAATGGATTAGAGGAGATCTCAGAGAGGTAAGGCTATAAAATTGGCAATAAGTATTTTTAGAAAAGACCAGGTAGTTGAGTGTGTTTGTCAGAAGTCTGCTAGGATTGGACTGTTGACAGTTGTGATACAGTGGAACTCGGCTTTAACAATCTCTGATTCAACGAAATGAGACAGATTATCCTTAAAAAAAAAAAAAAAAAATTAAAATCAACAAAATAACTTGGATTTAACGAACATATAAATGAACAACCTCAGATTCAACGAAGTCGCAACAGCCTTATCTACTCTATTCCCTGAGACTATTGATTGCACTAGCATTGTGGATTATTACACTCTTATCCTAGTTTATGGCGCACATCTTGTGCATCTGATCAGAAGCTTTCTTTCACACTAACACGTTCATTTTTGAAACGTGTGAAAGACATGGCATGTCTCACTGTGTACCAGGGTCAAGAGAGGTTGGCCTGGGTGGCTGTGAGTGCCGATATGTGTCTGACGCCATTTGAGTGGGGGAAAGTCAACATATACAGGTGCGTCACAGTCATATCCAACCCCTGGCTTCTGGACAATGAAAGGCTCACTTGTTGCTCACATTACTATAACAAACACTTGGATTCAACAAAATTGAAGGTCAGGCCCGACGACTTTGTTATATATATATGAGTTTCTCTGTATAGTACTCACAAAGACTTCAGATTCCGACTCTCCATTTGCACCCAGCATACAGGATATTTTCTAGTAGTGTGTTTTTATAGAATTCATAGGAAACCCTGAATACAGAGAGGAGCAAACATTTTTTTAAAATGCGTGCTGTTTAGCGTCTTAATGAACACAGGTACTTTGGTTTTGAGCAAAATTTTTTTTTTAAGGTAAGTAGTCACTTTAAAAAAAAAGAAAGTTTTATCTCGTCATACAACGCGTTGCCTGTGCCAGCATAATCCATTCACCTGTTGTTATTGTTATAGTCCCTCCAATGAATGAACTTACCACATTATGCAGTCCCTTCCACTGTTTACCCAAGTTGACCTGTAAGTAACAAATTTTCATTGCTGGTGAGGGAGGCGTGTGAACCATCATAACTCTCTCAATAGATTGGATTAGAGTAATCTGAAAAGTGTAAAAGTTGACTGCTTGAAAATTCAGGTTATTGCATTTCTTTGAAAGTGAGCATTTGAGAATGGCTCATGTATACAGCCAAACCTTATAGGCCTACTACCTAATTGGGGACGAGCATGAAGTTGGCGGTGCACCGGGGCTTGCGGTATAAAAGGATAACCCCGAATGCCATCTTGACTAGTGGTAGATTGGTGTAGACTAGAGGCAAAATGTGGCTAGTCTCTCCTTATCTAGATCTCTTTTGCGACTTTGCCAGGTATCGGGGGGAAAGTAGATGCAGCAACCAAGTACATGTACCGCTCCAGCTAAACTTTACGTAAATTAAAATAGAAAGAAGCTAGAATCAAGAGCTAGGATAAGTGTCAAGGACCTTTCAGGCGTATGCCTGTTTGATCCCGTTTTCATCAGTTGTCAGACGGCCTTAGACCTATCATGTGGACTTGAGCGTGAGTTCTCACAATAAAAGCCTCGTGGGTGCCCACCAGCCGTTTGGTCATTGGCATTATATACCGAGTTGCAAAAGTTTTGTCACACCCATTATACTACGATGATTTTTGCTACCGTGTAAGAATTGCAGCAAAAATGAAAAAGCATGATTTGTGTGTCTTGTGAGACTCTACATGCATGGGCAGACGAAAGAAATCATAAACCGGAGGTAGTTCGTGAGCAAAGTGTTGGTTTTGATTTTTCACGGTATAGGTTAAAATCAATGCATCCAACACACAAAATTGGTGTTAAATCTCGCAAAGTGTAAACACACCTTACACACTGGAGAATTCCGTGATTTTTAAGAGTTGGGCCATTTGTTCACCTGTTTTCAAAATAACAAAACGGACAAATGCAGAAAATGAACGCCGCTGTGTGTATGATAAATTCTTCAATTGTGCTTTCTTCTGTTGCAAGACACGTAGTTGTGTGCAGCAGGACCATCTAACGCTTGAACAAGCTTTTTAACATCACTAGAACTGTCCAAGACAAGCCTAGATATGGCCAACCAAGGGCGACAACTCAACGTCAGATGTGGGTTATTATCAAAACCCATGTTCGAAACCTGTTTCAACCAAGTGCATAGACTACCTGGTACATCAGACTGTCTTAAAACACCATTATTAGACATTTATATGATCATGGATTACGTGATTATTGCCCTTTATGTGGAGCCATTTTAACCCTGTTTCATTGAACAAATCGCCAAATTTGGGGACAATAACATCGTCGATGGATCTGAGGACATTGGTAAAGTGTTCCATTCAGCAATGGTTCAGGGTTTTAATTCGTTGCATTGATGTAGGAGAAAAAGTGTTTAAAAGAAGAGGATAGAGATTTCCCAAAGCCAACGTCCCCAAAGTGGACTGATCTGGTGCCTGAAACGTGATGGTGTGAGGTGAATTCTCTGCTCTTTATTGTACACATTTGGTCACTTTTTAAAGCAACATCAAAGGATGACGGTATCATGATGAAATTCATCGTCATGTTGACTGCCCAATATGGCACGATTGATGGGATGTGCTAACAAGACAACACCCGACCCAATGCGGCCATGATCAGCCAAAACTCCTCAAATCATTGTTCTGGACTGGCCTGCAAGATCAACAAGCCTTAACCCAACAGAACAACTGTAAGATGATCTTGACTGGAGGATTAAAAACAGGCTGTACTCTTTACATACCTGCCAGGAGCTGAAGGCTGCACTTAAAAAAGAATGGCAAGGGATTCCTCAAGCAACCATAAGGACATTTATTCAGTCAATGAACAGATGTTTTGTATCAGTAAATCAAGCTGGAAGGGGCCACACACAATACTGAGCAAACTTTGATTTGGATTTTGCCAGGGTCAGTGTGTATAAAATTATCGCCCTTGAATAAGGAAAAACATTGGTCAATTCTTTTAATGTCATGTTGACAAAAAATGAATAAAGATCATGTGTACCAAATTTCTCATGGCTATGTTGAATAGTAAATGAGTTATTGCACTTTTAAAGTGGGTGTGACAGAACTTTAGCAACATGGTATATCTGACGATTTTCTCGAAGTTTTTCCAGGTGAATTAAAAATTTAATTCCAATTTCTTGAAAAATATTGCCCAAAGCCTAAAAATAATCATTTTTATGAACTGTGCAAATCAGGAGCACATCGACAATAAGTGCTAGAAATAGGCGGAGCTCGCAGAGCTGTGTGTGGGGAAAGATGATTAAGCATCCACCATGTGTAATTTGTACCTCTTGCATCCAGTTCGTTGGCATTATAGCGGGGCAAATTTACGTTAATTTAATAAGGACAGTACAACCCACACAGTGGGTGGATGGTTGTATTAAGTAGTTGTGGGCGGTAAAGTTCCCGATTATTGAAAGCTAGGAATCCTAGGAATCAACTTCGAACCCAATAACTTTCTCATGATGGGATTTCTTCCCATGGTTACCTGGTTTGCTCCGAATATCTCCGGGTTTGGGATAACCTTGATTTCGGAACACTACAAGGCACCAACTTTAAAAAAATTATTTTTAGAAAATAAATTCTTTAACAAAAAGAAGATTTTAATGAATAAAGCTATTAGTAACAGTTGGTTTATAATATGTGAAAAGGAATCGGAACTTTTCTTTGGTAGCACTAATCGCGGGAATCGATTCTTTGCCCAGCTTAAGTATAAAGACACAAATACTTTGTTCATATAGGTGTTCCTTTACATACATTGGCAAAACCTGGGGGTAAGCGGGGCTGGCAGTATAATGGGGGTGGGGTGGGGGGGGGGGGGGGGAGAGTTATATTGAGATTTGACTGTAATTGTAATACTTTTTATCTATATATATATTATATATCTTTCAAATAGTAGGTGCTTTTTTCCGAGTTTTTGAAAAACGTGCATAAGGAGAAATGTTTTGTGATACCTGTTTTTTTAATCTGCATAACCAACCATATAAACTTGCGTGTAATGGGGAGTATAAAATCTGCCCATTTTTATATGTGGCACACCAAATAAGTGGGGGCATAGAGTTTTTGGCGTGCTGGAGGGGATTCAACTTGCGTGAAATCTTTATTGGTTGGGCATCAAAATCTAATGCCTTACCTCAGGTAACTGTTGGTTGTTGTATTGAGCTTGATTTAATCAGTAAACCGGATAATTGTTCATTGGCAAATCCTATTCAGTATTATTTCCCCTTTGTTGGGTCTAGTCCTTGCTGTATGTTGCAGGTATAATTTGGGGGGGGGGTTTATACTTTAGGACCTTATTTTTAAAAAAGAAAAGTCTTTCGTTTTATTGGCCTGTATATATATATATGTATGGTAGATTTTTATTTTTTGTGTGTGTTTTTTTGTCGAATAACAGTATTGTTTTAATTTTTACATTTTTTTTATTGAATGAACATAACTTGATGTCAATATTTTTGTTTTTCAGAAAACGATGCTACTTTGTAGATTTGTTTGTCCGTGTGTCCAACAAAGTTGCTGTAGCCATGTATGAGAAACTGGGTTACAGCGTCTACCGTAGAGTCTTGGAATATTACTCAGGAGATGTGGATGAAGATGCATTTGGTATGAATGTTTTTGTTTTTACTCTTTGGAGTACCATATGTTCTGAGTTAAACAATTGAAAATTGATTTCTTATGGGCAACTCAGGAGTCTTATGCTTAGGTTACAAGGAAAACAGGACAGAGAGCTAAATTGGAGAATCCTGCTTGGCTCCAAGGTATCTGATTTTTGTTTCTCGCAAAGTGGAAAACTTGTGGGAAAATAATCCCTTCCCCCCACCACCCCACCTCCCTTTCCTTTTCTGTCTCGTAGTCTTATTTAGCCATCTCCCTCTCTCCCCTTCCCCTCTCATTCTATCTCTTATAAAGCCCCCTCCCGCTCCCTATCGTGCTCTTTCCTGCCCTGGGCACACCGTCAGCTCAATTAGTATCATGATGGACAACTGAGCAGATGATGGCCCTGGTTCAGTTCCCAGACAGGGAGGTTCTTGAACTTGGGTCGTTTTTTTTGAGTTTTCAAGGCTCTCAACCTATTTGGCTTAGTCCTATTTAAGATGGATGTGGTCTTTCTGACTAAAAGAAGTTCTGCTTAAGACAGCCTCATGTCTAAGGTGGCCACTTTTCTCCTCTACAATGGGTGGCCTTCTAGACAAATTTGACTGTAGGCCTACTTTAAACAAAATGGAAAGGCTACTTTTTTTCATTGACTCTATTTTAGATTATAAATTAATGTAAGTTACTGGTATGTTTTAACTTTTCCCCTTTCGGTTGATTCCTAGCTGGTTTACGACACAGTAGAGATTTAAATGTATAGGGCACTGTGAATACTTCTGAATAGCGTGCATACTGCCTTCTGTTTCCTCTCATTTGTCTAGAGACAAGCAGTTTTCCTCTTGTGGTTATGTGGGGTACCTGGTTCTATCCACCATTTGAGATGGCATTGTTGATTGGTCATCTAGATCTCCTGTCTTAGGAATTTCACATTTCTGATTCAAGGGTCGTGGAATTGAGTACATGGTGCTCCTGAATTAGATTGAAAGGTTTTAGATTTAGAGGTACTGTGTGCCTGTCGCAGGTGAAAGTCAAAGCGGAGTGGGTTTTTTTTTTTTTTAGGCTGACTGTGAAGGTGACACTTTTAATTGAATCTCTACCTGAATCTGTAGCAGTCAAGACAGAGAAGCTAAGAGTAACTTGAAAAGCTATATGAAGCTGCATGAGAAGCAGGGGATACTAAGCCATGTAACATGAATTTCCTGTTACTGTGAAAGGATTGAGAATTTAATTATCCATTGTTTTTCTTTCCCTCTTTGTTTTATGTACCAGGTACTGCAACTTCCCTTAACACGAAATATGCTTGCTATAAAGAAATTGTCTGGTCCCATGAAATTTGGGTCATCTGGGTTTTTGGAATGTATAAAATTAAATGCACTGCGGTTTGAAAAGCAAGCAGTCAACTGCCAAAAAAGATCTTATGGGGATGGGGAAAATGTTAAAGAGAAATTAGAGATTTAAAAAAATGTTCATTTTACTCTAATGTACTATAGGTCTTCCGTGAACAGTCTCCCCAGGTTATACTGGTTTATATAGATTAACCTACCTGTAATTATCATTTGTGGTTTTATCAAGCTCCTTCTGTTTATTCCCAATGTCTTTTGTTTCAGATATGAGAAAAGCCCTTTCCAGAGACACAGAGAAGAAATCGGTGATACCCTTGCCCCATCCAGTGCGCCCAGATGAACTCGACTGACCCAGCGCCGGGCATGCTGCCTTCACAGACTTTGCAGACCCCCTCGTAATAGCAATTTTCATTTTAGTAGGCTCTTTGTTTTTCTTAGTTCTAGAGCTATGGTTACAACGTCAGTACAAATCCATGGCCGTGCATAAAGAGCTTTAGTGCTGACATTGTAAATTTTAACATTGAAAGTTGGAAAGAAAATTTTTGCCCCCTGTGTTATGTGTTTCTGGTCATTTGGAGAATAATGGACATTTACTGTTAGTAAGTGTCTAATGATATGGTATTTTGAGTGTTCAGTTAATTTTGTATTACAGCTTTTGCAGTTTATTTGTCCATAATATTTTCATTCTAGTTCTTCGAGTCATTGCTGAAGAAAAAAATTTAAGCTTAAATGGTTAACAGGCTGAAGTAGTGTCAGTCCTTTTAAAACTGTATTGTATGCTTTTTGAAAAGTTGCAGGACTCTTAGTGTAAATGTTTATTTCAAATACTCACTATACCTTTATCTAATTGTACAGCTTGTTGTATTAAAAGATTTTTAGAGAATTTGTCAGTCAAATTGTAGTGGGGTAATAACTGAACTTTTCCAACTGTAGTTTGATGTCTGTGAGGGTTGCATGCCCAGTCTTGAGTACTTCATCAAAGGAAACTTTGTATACATTTAATCCTTTGTTTGTGTTGCTTATTTTTGTTCCACAACAGCAATAGCCGAATACTGTACATGTGTAGGCCTTCTTTTTAATGATAATGAAATGTGGTGGTTATGTTGACGCAACATAACTTAAACTAATGATCAACAACTTCCTGTTGTTAATGAGGTTAATATCAATTTGGAGGATTCTTCTTCATTTTTGTTCTTGTTTCTTATCTTTTCTTTTCCCCACATATTTTTAATGAAAAAACCCCCTTGTCCCACACCTTTATTGTCCCTTCAGTCACAGTCACTAGGATACAAATGTAGCCTTGACAGTTTAGAATTTCCTCATGAAGTAGTGGGGGATTTTGAAGTTACAGGCAATTTCAATCTCAGTGTGAAAGAACAGAGAGGCTTAGAAATATTTCATACATCTTTGATTGAGAAATATTTCCACAGAGATTTTAATTTGGTTGTCCTTCCTTGGTGGGTTTTTTTAATAGTTTAGTTTTAGTAGAGGTTTTACGGCGCTCACAACTGCATAAGGTCATCTGAGCGCCAGAAGATTAGAGGTGTTACAAGAGAGTAACAAACATTAAAAAGAAGAAGGGGAGATAAGGACGATAGATGTTTGATAGGAAAGAAGAAGCAAACCACACCAGAGCACCCGCCAACCACCCACTTTTTTTTTCTTTCTTTTTGGCTGTCATTCATTCGTCATCAGAAGGGCTGTCGCCCCTTTGGGCTTTTGCCCCGTAGGGCTGTCGCTTCCTTGCCATTAGAAGGGCTGTTGCCCCCCTACCCCTCAGAGCGCCTCTGCCCCCTAGACCTCAGAAGCGCTGTTTCCTCCTCAACAAACCCTTTGACGGTCTTCAGAAAGGCTTTTGACCCGTCTTTCATTCTTTTGCTAACCCCCAGAAGGGTCTTTAGACTTACCTTTTTCTTCTTGTGTTCTTGTTGTAGTTTGTTCTCTGCCGGTCCATCCAGCGAAGCCCAGGGCAGTCCGCCTTGGTGTTTTGTCATTTGTCTTGTAAATTTACAGGGGATGCATGAACGCTCCTTCTTCAAAAGTTCTTTATTTCGTGGTTAATAAAGGAACAGAGTAATCTCAAAATGAAGAAACAAAACAAGCTACCAAGGGCATACTACAGAAACTGTTACTTCTAACAGCTATTGGAATATTTTAGTTTGAGGTAGAATCACCTGGATGAAATAACATTCATTTTGTACTGAGGAAAGACAAGTCAGACTGACAAGAACAACAAAACAATTGTGAAGAAGTAGCCTACTGGTACTGGTAGGACTTGTTATGCACCATTAAATATTTTATTACTTGTTCTCCTTTTGAGTTCCGGTACAGATTTGACTGTTTTTAAGTATGCAGTCGAACCTCATTGTGCCGCCCCCGCAATACCGCCAGCCCCGCTTATTGCCAGGCTTTTGCCAGTGTACGAAAAGGAACGCCTTGTATAAACATAGTATTTTATGCCTTTACACCGCCATCCGCCAACTGTCTAAGTTGTACGGTCCTTGAAACTTGGCAGCGACTGAAAATTTTCTTTTCTAAACATTTTTCCCTTTCACCTCCAGTCCTGTGCCCTAACCATGTTCTGTCGTCTGCTTTCGTCTCCACTTTCTGCACCAACCCCATTTTGCTCCCGACTCTTTCTGCAGCCTCTCTACTGCTACTCCTTGGCTCCTTCTTACTGCTGTCTTTCAGCCACACCCCTATCTTAGGTAAGGTAAGATCCAACACTCAACCTCCTTGGTTAATGGTGAACAATTTCAGAGATCCCGTGTTTCAAGTTGCGCATGTTAAAGATCCCTTGATTGTGCATAATCGATAAGAGTAGGCTTCAGCCGCCACCCGGGAAAAATTCAGAATTAGTTTACACCAAAACTGAAAATGAGTCCCGCGCGTTCATATGACCATATGCGGTTTACGAGCGCCGTAAAACACCAAACAAACGAACTAGAGGTACACCCGACATACAGCGCACAGCCTTTCTCATACACGTCTTCTGTCTACTATGCGAGTCCGGCCTGTTTCTATCGTTTTTTTCGCCCATGCTCCTGACTTGCACTGATTATGAGAATGCTATTATTTTTAGGCTTTGACCAATATATATATATATGAAAATAATTGAAATGTAATCTTAATAAAGTCGTAAAATTTTCATAGGAACTGCGCCACCTCGGCCTGTCTGCAAAAATGTCTGGTGTTGCCAGATAGCCTTCTTATAAACCATACCGCCATAAGGCTGGCCTGCGCCCGTGAGACTTTTATAATGGGAGAACTCATGATTAAAAGCGGACGTCAACAAAGGGCTGACGAGTATCAGAAAGTAAACTGCATGTCCACAGGTTCTTTGACACTATAGTAGCTTAGCTTCTGATCCAGCAGAAAATTTCAGTTTGAATTTACGTGTACTAGTGCATGTAAATGGTTGTTACTACATAACATAGATCTAGTCCTTTTCCTTGCCCATGGCAATCGCGCAACACAGATCTGGATGAAGCAAGACTGGTCACAGTTTTTTAAAGTTTTAGTAGAGGTTTTACGGCGCTCGCAGCTGCATAAGGTCATATGAGCACCAAGGGGTGGATGTCAACAGAGAAGTCCTTACAGTAGGGAATCAGGCTTACTCTGCTTACCTCTCAAGCTTCAACAGCACAGAGTCTGCTTTGTTGACTATCAAGGCACCCCGGGAGTAGCGGGTCACAAGAGTGTGACAAACGTACAAAAGACGTACATGTAGATAAAAAATGACAATAGTAAGGATGAGAAAAG